GTGATTGCGTCATTTTATTAAGAAATGATGCCCAGAAGAAAGGACCCAGCAATATTTTACCCGCTGGAAAATGAAACCCTCTCTGTCCTCATGCTCAGCAGCTGCATCTCCCCGCTCAAGCAATCTCTGCTAAGTATTTTTCAGGCATGTTCGTGTGGATCCCAGCTCTGCTCCGACTCCTGTGCATCACTGCCCTGTGTTTGTCCTCTCCGCCGGCTGAGAGACGCGGCTTTGCCCACGCAGCGTGCCCGCAGCGTCTGTTTGTGCGCGGATCTCTGCACTTCGGGAAATGTCTTGCGAATGCCCTCGTTTCTCTAATGGGCCCTTGACTCTGAGCTGCGCTAGCGGCTTCTCTGCATCTGCCTGCAAGGGAAAGCGGCAGCAGATCAAGTGATCAGCAGTCTGCACGGGGCATTTGATCATACTGCAGAAGTGCTTGTTGGAGGGTATCTTCGGTTAACAGCAGGCTGGATCAGTAGCTGGTCTGGGAGGAACTCGTTATGGCTGTTTTACCGAGAGCGTGGGCCAGCAGGGCAGATTAAATAGAAGCACCTTTTTCCTGCGGCCGATGCAGATCCCAAGCAAATGGGAAAACTCTGGGCCTTGGGGTGGGTGATCTCGTGCATGCAGCTCACTTGGACCACTGCCATTTACTTCACTAGAGTGGTGTAAACCAGTGTCTTTCCTTTCAGAGGGAGTGGGGGTGGGTGCCTGGATCTCAGCTGCACGTTTTGTTGTGTATGTAAGGTGTTAACTTAAAGAGATATGAGCTCTCAACAAAGATATTTTATATAGTTTATATGTAATGCAACGTGAAATATGTGCATGCACACATATTGTGCATGTGTGTGTGTATATATATATGTTATATATACACATATATGCGCAGTGTTTGCATATATGTGTGTATACACACATGTAATGTGTATATGTATGTGTATACACACACGTGTATTATGTGTGTATAGTACAATGTGCATGTGGTATACACATAATGGGTGTACTCTGTGTGTATACACACACACATATATACGCATATATATGTGCGTATATATGTGTGTATATGCACGTGTTTATGTATACATTCATATATACACATACACATGCACATGTATGTGTGTGCTGCATATATATATGTAGAACATCATGTTACACGGATATATATGTATATGTGTATGTGTATATATACATTCATACACATACATATACGGGCACATATATGTATGTATGCATGTATGTTCTGCGTATATTATATATAGAGAATATACAATATACATTCTGCATATATATAATACACATTCTGCAAAACCATAATATAGATACGTTCTGCATATCTATACATATATATGTTCTGCATACATACATATCTATCTATCTATATACATATATATGTATGTATGCAGAACATGTATGTATGTATATATATGTATATATGTATGTATGTTCTGCATATATATGCAGAACAGACATGTACATGCCTAAGGGATGTATTATAGTTTTAAATATATATATTTTTTTACATGAATAACGTCCTGTTAATGGCTCTCTGATTGAGAATCATTGGTCTAAGTCCTTTTTGAATCCCACTCTACTCTCTGCAAGCATGTTTTGCCCAGTCCTGAACAGTTGCTAGAGCCAGGTGATCATGCGTATTTGCAAGGCTTTGTGGCTACAGGGCGCTGTCTGTGTAGCACAAGCAGCTCCGATTCCCGGCCTGGGTCACCGTCTGGCAAACCTCACACGTCCAGCGTGATTTCCACGCGGTGACAGAATATCCCTGGAGCAGATCGCTGGCCTGCGCGCTGTCATCCTTCTTCCCATGTAACACGATAATCTCTCGCACGGGCCAGGCTGCCAGGAGAAGATTGTGAGCCTAATGAGAAATGGCACACGGTATTAATCACCAGGAGTTAGTTCACTTACATATACTTATGAATGAGAGTAATCATTTTCCTCTCTGGCACAATGACAAGCATCAAAGCTCTCTAATAGGACTAGATGTAGTTGTGAAGCTGGAGCCTTGTTTCCTGTGTTTGATTATATATTGATGAGGGTTTTACCCCCGCCTGGGAATGCAAAGGCTCTCAGGAGTTGCCTTCACAGTTCACATTTCTTGGAAATGTCCAAAGAGAAAGCAAGGGGAATTTATGATTCCAGACAGCAGCAGACAGGCCAGGAAAGAGCCCTTGCCTATAGACACCCATTGTATTTTCCCAGACATAACTCACACCCAGGGTGGCTTACTGGAGAGAAAGCACAACAGGGAAGAACAGAAGTCCCCCGGAGAGAGCATGGTGTGAGAGTCTGCCCAAAATGGAGGCCCAATTTGTGCCAGGCATTTTGATACCAATGCGTTTTGCAATCCCAACAAATGCCATGGAGGAGTAGACTGCAATGCCAGCCTGTCTCACGTAGATCTTAGATGGCCAGGCACTGTCCCACCTTCCTCTTGAAGACAACTCGCTGGGCAGCTGAGAGCGGCAAAGACATACAGGGCCAGGAGAGAGCGAGCAAACTAGAGGGAGCGCATCTTAATGGCGTGAGCTCTGCCCTGGCCAGGAGGGGCTCGTGGGCTTTGCCCCTGCCCCCAAAAGGCTCTCCTCCCCTGGCTGCATGTCACAGTCAGTGTCTTGCAGCAGTGGCCTGGCTTCCCTGCATCCCCTCCCTGCCGAGGCAGTGCCCTTCCCACTGAGCCTTGCCTGTGGCGGGGCATCACACCCTATACGTAGCAGTCCCCCAGCTAAAATGCACCATGCAAAGGGAGCAAAGATGATTCCCCAGCAAAGCTGCTTCTTTTCCAGAAGGCCAGTAGGAATAAAGATGCTGTATCTCCTTTACTGGGGGGATCGAATAGCAGCCTTCACCTCCCTGCAGGGGGGCTGCAAAAAGGATGGAGCTGGGCTGGTCTCAGTGGGGGCAGATGACAGGACAAGGAGCAATGGGCTGAAGTTGCAGCAAGGGAAGCTGGGGTTGAATATTTAGGGTAGTGACACACCGGAACAGGTTACGCAGAGAGGTGGTGGGTAGAAGGAGGTTGGAAGTGTTGAAGACCTGGGTAGGCAAAGCCTTGCGTGGGATGATGCAGCTGGAGCTGGTTTTGCTTGGAGCAGGGGCTTGGACTAGATGAGACCTCATGAGGTCCCTTCCCATCCAAATTTCCTATGCTCTCACGTACCTGGATTGCTCTAGGCTCTGCTGTCTTCCTCCACGTGTCCTCGCACAGAGCCATTTTGCAGAAGGATGCATCCTCCACGTCAGGCAAGGTTGGCCTCCAAGAAGGGCAGTATCTGGCAATGCTGCAGTGCCGTAATCCAGTTCTCCGTTAGACAAATGCTCCTGCAAGATCCTTCGCTGGGCTAAGAGCGCAGTTTGGCCCAGTTGAACTGTTACGGCAGGTGGGAGCCTGGACTAAGGGCATCTCTAGAGGTCCTGGGCAGCCCTACTTCTGCAGGATCTCTGTGCTAGCATGGCTAGGACACGGTGGTGCTGCAAGGGAAGGTGGAGGAGACCTCAGTGGCACTGTTGCATGGGGGTAGACGGGGGGGCGACGGCTCCGTTTAGGACAAAGCATGAATGAACTATTAAAGAAGTGTGTGTGTGTGTGGGGGAGGGGGGGACTTCTTCTCTCTGGGAAATGCAACCCACGGGTATCCCAGTTCACACTGCTGATGTGATAGGGACACGAAGCGACAGTCCTGTGCCAGGATGGGGGGTATGTTTGTAGCTCAACCGGCAGGACACGAAAACAGCAGGCCAAGAGAGAGACACCTGGCAGAGATGCACCGGCGCTCA